AAAAAATCAAAAAAAAATCCTGGATCCCCCGGTCCCGGGGAGGCGATGCCTGGCCGTTGCGCCCCTCCCCTGAGGGTCTCCGGCCTGAAGCGCTTGATCCTCTCTGTGAAAGCACCCTGGTTTTTTTTTCCCTAAACCCTCCCCTGAGGGTCTCCGGCCTGGAGCGCTTGATCCTATTTGTGGGAGCACCCTGGATGTTTTTGATTTTCTTGATTTTTTTCATTTTTTTGGTTTTTCCCCTGGTCTCTGGGACAAGACCGACCAGGTCTATTTGGAAGATGCTTTCTTCTTTTCGTAATTACATTTAAATGTACATTCCCCTTATTAAAGACGTAAGAAGGAGCTTCCAAATAGACCCGGTTTTGCTCACACACGGGGGGGGGTTGGGGGCTTTGTAGGGCCCTTAGGGTTGAGGGAGTCTAGGGCTTAGGGCTGATGGAGTTTAGGGAGAGTTTAGGGGTTTCGGGAGCTTAGAGAAGGTTTGGGGAGCTTTTTTTAGGGCCTCTGTGGCTCAGGTTTAGGGTTGAGGGAGTTTAGGGGTTTCGGGAGTTTAGGGAGTTTAGGGTTTAAGGAGTTTAGGGCTTAGGGGGGTTTGGGTTTTGTTTTTAGGGCCTCTTTTAGGGTTTAGGGAGTTTAGGGTTGAGGGATTCGAAGTTTTGGTTGCTTTTTTTGTTGTTTGAAGGGCTCCTTGTCGATCTGCAGAGGGTTTTGGGGTTTAGGGCTCAGGGTTTCGGGCTGGTTTAGGGTGTAGGGGCTTGGGTTAATGGACTTATGTGTTTGTCTTATAGGGTTTATGGGGGTTGAGGGTCTTCGCTGGGTTAGGAGTACAGGGCTTAATTAGAAGTTTGTCTTACGGGGTCGAAAGGGGGTGAGGAATGTGGGGTGCTTAGGAATTAGGGCGGGCTTTGCCTCAGCCGGAAATCCATCCCCAACCCCAAGGTCACAACCCGAATCCAAGCCAGAGTACAGGCCGAAAAAGCCTCCAGACCCCAAAAGCCCGAGATTCCATAGCTCCTAAACCCCGAACACCCAGATTACCCATAGCCCAAGGACCGCTTCGGACTTGCCGAAGAAAGCGGCCATGTGGAGTGGTGTGCGCTTGTGCCTGAGCCAACCGAAACTGCGGTTTAATAATGCCGTCATGTAATGGCCTCACTCATTGGGATAGGGTACCTTCAAGGGTTCCGTAGTAGGGGTGCGAATAATGCAGCGGGGGCCCTGACTATTGGAGTAAGGTTGTGGGGCATATGACAGCATAGTTACAAAGGCCACTAACATAGCCGGTGTTTCGGCGTGACCAAGGGACGCGACCCGGGATGTGTGACATTTTGGAGGTTGCGCTACAGATCCAAGGCTCACCCCTAAATCTAAACCTTCAAACGAGCCAACACTTTCAAGAAGATGTACATGAAGGTACTTCAGGGGCCAACTGCAATGCCCAGCATTAACTTAACCCTTTAAAACCCCTAAACTTTAAACCGACTCGAAACCAACACCATACTAAACCCTTATAATAGCCCTTAAAGTGGTCCTTTATAGACCTTTGAAAGGAACCCTCCCAAAAAAAGGGCCTTAAAAGTAGAGGAGGACCGAGGTGCTGGTCCGCCTGGTTCAGCTCTTTGGCCTTCTCCTCGTCCGCCAACCTGGGGAGCTCCCGGAATCCAGGGAGCCCAAGACCCCTTAATTAAGGAATACCTAGGGCCTATAGTGCTCCTTTAAAGGGATCTATCGGGTTTAGGGTTGAGGGGATTCAAATACCCCTGAATGAAGGAATATAGCTGTAAACCATCATATGAATCCCCTTTATGGTTTAAGGTCGATTCCTTAAATAAGAGGTAGTGGGCTCTCTGGGAAAGCCCAAAGCAGACTTGACGGTTTGGGCCCTGCAGGGCTGCTATAAGTATAAGGGATGCCTGAAAAATTCTTGAAGGGACCCTTCAAGGAAAAGCCGTTAAGTGTTAAGGGTTTAGGACCTAAACCCTTAACCCTTAGTTTAGGACTTACTAGGCTTTTGGGGCTTTAGCGTTTAGGCAGGATTTGGGGTTGGTACTTTAAAGCTCTTTTGTGGCACAGGAAGGCTTGAAAGGAGATTTACGCCATTGGGGTGGAGGGATTCAGAGCATTAGAGCATTGAGAAGGACGGGGAAGTTTCAGAAAAGTCAGGATCCTAACTTTTAGCAGAAATCGCAGTGTCCCAACTGGAGTATGAAAGGTTTGCGGTTTTAGGGTGAAGGTTTGAAGGCTTAGCACTTGCAGCTTAGCCTTCGAGGGGTTCAGGATTCGGGGCTGAAGGGTTTCAGGATTCGTGGCTTCAGAGTTGCCGGATTTGGGCCGGTGGGGCTCAGGATCTAGAAAATCGGAACCAAGCCCCAGACACATCCGAGATGTTTGCGGGCTCAACAGTTGGACAAACGAAAACAGACGAAACACTGTGTTGTTTCAAGCCTTCGCGAGGCAGAAAGCTCCCGATATACACGTGACTACTGCGAGTACACTCGTGGAAGCAATGCTTCGAAACGCCAGGCAGATTACTGCATTCTTGTTGAGGAATTTGGTTTAATTTTCCGTACTAGGGATCTAATCAAAAACATGGCTTCCTTATTGTGGGAACTTAAACTAAGTCCCTAAGCCCCCTTGAATTAAATCGCTTAACACGCCCAGTAGCAGCTCGTCAAGCTTCTCCAGGTCACCTTGGGGAGACACCAAAGATGCCCTCTCGAAGGCTCAAAAAAATCTTGTGGACCAGAGTTCGACTATGGCTCTCACTATGCTGCTCTCAACTGTATACGCTTGAGTTAGTCAGACTGGGACGCTAGATAGAACTTTATTCGAAGACAGAAGTCTTAGCGGGCCCTTCCCATGCCTGCTCGCGCCGCATCGTGCAGCTCGGTTGAGGTATTCCCACCCTGACCAGGACAGGACTTGGATGGAGCGCCGTCGGCGGCATTGTGTAGAGAGGAGGATGATGATCACAGGCAACAAATCGCACTGACAAAGGAACATTGATCCGGACTCAGAGAAATGTGGTGAATAAACGTAGGGATTGAAGAGACTGCTGCCTCCACTTCTATTTCGTCATTAACAACGGCAAGTATGATTTGGCTAGTAGCTAACAATCAACAACGGCTGCTGCACTAAGGAGGATGTAGAACAAGGGCATGGCACGCCCTGAAGAGCTTCGCTTGCCAGCCTTGCCAGACTCGTCTTTTCCCGCGCCTGCAGGTAGCATCACGGGGTAAAAGCCATGAGGGTTATAGGGTTTGGTATGTATGCAAAGTTGGGGCCATTATGGTTGCGACTTTTGGGTGGAACTTAGGGTTTTCCGGGTAAGGGTCCACCAATGCTGTAGCTCAAGATCCTTTTTTATTCATGGAAGGGGTCATTACCGGGTCGGGACTACTTGGGGGATCATGGGACTTAGTAACTATTTGTTATAAGAACCTTAACTGGAGTTATACGTAATTATAAGTAGAGTTACCCTAATAGGTCCAGTGCCCCACGACCGGCAAGGGCAAGCGAGCCCCAATCCTCCTAAACCATGCGGAGAGTACCCGAAACCCTACTACCCGTAACCCTTGTACCTCTTAACCTGATGGCCTAATATATTCCACACAACACCGGGCCGCCTTTGCCGCCTTTCTTCTTGCCCTTCTCCTTTCCTTTTTCCTTGCCTGCCGGGCTTTTGGTGGCTGGTCTTGGGGTTTTAGGATTCAAGGCTCAGCCGCTCTTTTCTGCGCGGGGTTGTCAAAATCAAAACATCATCTTGTTTCGGGGTCATTGGTATAAGAGCGCATGCACGACGGCCTAATTTGGAGAACTGCCCACACTTAGAGGTCCGATATGGGTCTGGAGTTCTGCAGTGGTGCTGAACAGGGCAGGTGTACGAATTACTGGCTCCTGGCAGAAACCTACTAGACATCTCAACTGTAGAACAGAGGACCACTGCAAATCAGCAGCTTTCTGCTTATCTTCTTGACAGAAGACTGAAACTCATTGCTTACATGCAACGGCCATTGAAACAAGTCCAACTTTGCTCGGCATCCAGTGCAGCAGGTGCCTTTTTCCTTCCCCTTTTCTTTCCCTTTCTCTTTGCCTTTCTCTTTGCCCTTACCTTTGGCCATTGCCGCAAATCGCCGCAGTCCTTTGCGACCCTGTGTGTGTGTGCTGCTTGGCTGAAGCTGTGAAGATGGGGTGAGGTCGCTTGCTGTCGCCTGAAACCGATGCGAACGCCATCTGCAGGACTTTCGCGTGGGGCTGTGCACCATGTGGGCATGGATTCGGGTACGTAAGGCATTAGTGCATACCCTCATGTCATGTCGTCTCTACCTTTTCAGAATTGGAAATGTCAGCGGCAAAGTCGGGTTTGCTACCCCGCAAGTATCTGTGGGCTTCGGCCTGTCCGGCAAGCATCTGTTCGTCGCGTACACTGTCCCCTGACAGAATGATGTGCTGTCTCATGTTTTATTCTGTCATAACTAGTAAACAGATATCCTCGTGATGATGACTACTACTATGTTCTGCCCTATGAGTCTTCTGATTATGATTAGTAATTTGACTCTGCTTGAATAGTGGCCTCCAGATTCCGAATCGGGCTTTGAGACATGCTATCAGGAGCTACAGGGAAATTATGGTTAAAGCATGCAAGAACTTTTGGGGGCATACGGCGACCAATCTACTAAGAAGCATCGTGTAAACCATTCAGGGCCCCATGATGCAACATAAGTACTTAAAGGATCATGGGACTTAGTAACTGTGGCTATTATTCGGGTAACTATGCTTATAACTACTTATAACCCCGATTAAGGTACTTATAACCATAGCTACTAAGTCCCATGATCCTCCAAGTACAGTCTAGTACAACCACTTAAGAATCATGTAAGACCCACATAACGCCCTTGTAAACCGGTATCAAACTCTACAAAACCGCACAAAAACCCTCCTCCCCCCCATGCCATTCCAACAAAACACAGCAGAACCGGGTTCGGGAGTTCCGTTTTGTCTTAACGGTCGATCCCCAGCTTGTTCAGCTTCACGAGACGGTCGAAGTAGCGATCCGCCGTCTCTTCCTGGATTCTTGTTGGGGATTCTAACTTATGTTACTACACTCTTATTAAGAATATTTTTGGGAAAAATAATAGTGTTGTCGCAACAACCGGATTTTCACATGATGCTAACTTGATCATCAAATTCCTTAACAAGGGCCCAGCTTCGTCCCCAAGGGCCCGGTGGAACTTGTTCAGTATCCACAAGGCCTTCCTCGGCTCTTTGGTGTTTTGGGGCTTCTACTTGGAGGATCATGGGACTTAGTAAGTATGGTTATAAGCCCCCTAATTGGGGCTACAAGTTATTATGAGTATAGGTACTCCAATAATAACCCTGGCTACTAAGTCCCATGATCCTTTTAAGTAGTGAGCAAAATATGGGGTCGCAAATACGACTATGTCAGACTCTTCAGGGGTTCAGGGTGTCGGTTCAGAGTTTCAGCTTCGGTGTCTTGTGGGCTTTTATGAGGGCTCTAGGTGTTTGTGCAGGGTGTTCAACAGGATTTCGTCTTGGGTTCGACATGGGTTTGGAAACAGTTCCTGAGACTATTCCTTGACGTATATGTAGTCCATGTACAGCTAATATCTTTATTACGGAGCCACTCCAGTTTGCCGCAACGTGCAATAGAACTACACAGACTGCAAGCCACTCAAGCGTCCATACTGCCGTGTGGCGGTACAGGCCTGTGCTAGATGCTTTCAGACAAGGTGCAGGGGTTGGGGCCAGAGGCTTATACCTTGAACCGCTGGACCCCAGGCGCTTGAAACCCTACGACAGCCTGAGGACCTTCAGTGGCCTCAACTATTGTATGGAATACTGTAGGGGCCTAAATAGTTACTCTAATTATTAAGGTCCCTACAATAAGGCCTTCGGCAGTCTTGGGGCTGTAATCTACTACTGCTGATGGACAAAATCCTGCATTACCCATTATAAGGAATATACCATAGTGCTCATAGTTTAGAGTCCTTACGGTCATGCAGGATTTTGTCCATCAGCAGTATGACTCTAATGAGGAGCCCTAAGAACAATCGTCTGTTCTGGTCTGTTCTGTGTCGGACTCCAGAGCTCTCAATAGGGCGCGTCCCAAAACTGTGGAAAAAGCATCAATCCCAGAATCTCCAATATCCCTGTAGGGTTCCTTAAAAGGGATCGATAGGGGATCTATAGGGTTTAAGGGTTTCTAATGTCCCTTTATGAAGGAATATACCGTAAATCTTATTAAGGGATCCGATTATAACTTAAGGTATATTCCTCAATTAAGGGATATTGGAGTCTCTGGGATAAGTACTCAGGCCCCTATATGGAGCGGGCTTGAGCTGATCCTGGGGCTTGGGGGTCGCTGCCGGGACGCTGATTTCTGGTGTTGGCGACCAGATTCGGCTCCTTTGCTGCGAAAGTTCAGGGTTTAGGGTAGAGTTAGAGTGACATTCCGGAATAAGTTTAGGGATGCCGGGGCTTAGTGTTAAAGCTTTAAGGGTTCAGGGTTTTCAAATTACGATGCAGAAGCGATTCTAAGCTAAGACATAGGTACAACACATCAAGGCTGAATCATGTCAAGCTTCCCACAGGTGCATCACGCGGCGAAAGGTATCCAACGCTGCTGCCTGAACATGGGCGAGCATGCAGCTGCTCGATTAGTATTGCTTGGCTCAGCTGCTCTCGGTGCTGCCTATGGTTATTGAGGACACTTCTCAGGTGCTTATCGCAGACACTGCCACAATTCACTTTCGTGGACTCTGGCCGCTCTTGTCCCGGGAAACGGGGGTCCTTCCAAGGCAAAAGCCGCAGGCTTCACAACTGGCAGGCCTCTGGACCCTGGCAGAGAGAACATCTCCAGAGTACGCAGAAGGCCCAAGCCCGGATCCCTGGAACTCTTAAAGACCTGATGTAGGGGCCTGGATAATTAGAACAGGATTTTGGGGGTTCCGTATTGTTTGATTAAAAAAATTATAGTACAACATATCCCCAAACCCTGTTAAATTAGTAAGGCCCTATATTAAATGCTTAAAGAGCTTACCGCCTAGGCCCCGGAGACCTAGATGCCCCTTATAGGAACCCGTATAGACCCCTTAAATCCCTATTCTAACTATTACGGCCCCTACAGTACCGCCTGAGTTGTAGAGATCCCCAGAGAGCCCAATACCCCTTAATTAAGGAAAAGGGCTTAAACTTAAACTATACAGGGCTTCATATTATGATTTCAGCCATATTCCTTGATTAAGGGGTACTGGGCTCTCTGGGGACCCGGAGGCTCGCCTCACCGGCTTTGATGCGGTTGGCCAGCCAGGATGCCAGCCTGGCAGAGAAGCAAACGAAGACCTCACAAAACTCGGGTCTATGTTGCTGCCCCCCTCCGCGGGCGCACTGCTATGTTCGGGCTTTTGGGGTTTAGGGCTTAGGGTTTAGGATTTAGGATAGTTTAAGGAGTCGGGTCTGTGTTAGGGTAATTACTACAATTCCTGAAACTCACAAAGCAATGGGGCACACGAGGCTCGCGTGGCTCAGGGCAGTCACGAGAGTTGGTGGAGCACCTTTGAGACTCAAAGCTTTTGGGGTTGAGGGCGCGTAAGAAAATGGAGTTTACGATCTAACGGTCCACGGTTGCGAACCTGCGACTTTCTCCTGTCTGCTAGAAGCTGTGGACTGCGATACTTCCTTGCAGCTCTAAGAGACCTCCGAAGGAGAGTTTAGGACTCAAGGGCGGAAGCTATTCGTACTCCGTGAGTCGGCTGGCGACGAGGCGTTCCGAACGCCCGCCTGTCTAAAGGACAGTCCCAAGCCCTGGACCTTGACATAAACCTTCAATAGGGTTTAGGGTTTAGGGTTTAGGGTTTAGGGGGTAAAAAGACCCATGAAGAAGGAAACCCCGTGTCAAAGTCAACTACAACCCTGTAGGATCCCCAAGAATCCTCGGAAAACCCTACTCTGTCAGACGTGCCAGGTTGGCTCGAACTGGGTGGGCACGTGGAAGGGATCCCTTCTCGTGCCCTCCAAGATCACCTTCCGCTGGACTCTTGCAAGAGACACTACAAGTAGCTGAAGTTATCTGTGGGGGGGGGGCGGGGTATATGCAGTCATATGGCTTCCGGCCTCAATATCACAAATATGACAGTCAAACAAAAACAGAATTCTCTCGAAGCTGAATGTATAAACACACTTCTACATATTCGTATTGTTGTGGCAACTTAACTTAAGTAATCAATTGTCTTGGAACCATCTAATTACTTGTATATCACAAGTATCGTACCACACACCCCTAGCCGAGGCAGTTTGGGGATACCCCTAATAGGGTTTGAGGGGATATTCTAATGTAAGTATACTAAGAAGGAACCCCCACAACCCTATTCCAATTATCAAGGCCCCTACGTTAAGCACTTCTTGATCCCACATACGGTTGATGATATAAATCCTGCATTACCCATAATAAGGAGTATACCATAATTGCCATAGTTTAGGGTCCTTAAGGTAATGCAGGATTTGTATCATCAACCCTAAACCCTATAGATCCCTTAAAGGAAGCCCTTAAAGGTACCCCTATAGATCCCTTTATTAAAGGAACCCTAGGGATTTATATGGGACTTTCCGAACTTAGGAGTACCATATTTGGGGGGTCCTTATAATAAGGATCCTACTATTTAGGGTACTATATTAGGGTCCCCTATTTTCGGAAACTCCCATATCATCAACCGTACTCCGGGCCTCTACCGCCTCCTCCGGATCCATCTGCGTCAGGCAGTAGAAGAGTACCCGGCGGGCGTGGAGATCGTTCTTGGCACCTTGCAGAGTTCAGGGCCAGGGCTTACAACATAGATTTGGGGTTTGGGATATCAGGAAAAGAACTTAAAAATTTGGGGGTCTTGGGTGCAAATCGACCCAAAAACCTTCGATTTCACTCAGATTATGTTCGGAGCCCCCAGAAAAAGCAGTTCTCCTAAGGGTTCCGGTCTGGGTAATATGGGGCCCTATATTAGGGCTCTGTGCCCCCAACTTGGGGTGTCGGGCTTCGTAGTGGTGGCATGCGTCTTAGAAGAATTGGGGCTTGCACTGGTTGCGCGGTTAGAGCTTAAGGCAAAAATTGTTCCTATGAAGGGTTGAGGGTTTGGGCGCAAAGCTTTCAGTTTCCGTGTGCCAGGCTCGGGATTTCGACTCTTGAAGATGTGAGGCAGGGCTCCATGTACAGAGGACGAAGAAGATAGCAGCAACAACCATTTATTCAAACCTCTGTATGGGTAGTTTGTGATGCCCCCGCTAGTCTGCATGGCAGCTTGTTGTAGCTTTCAAAGCAGCTTTTCTCCTGCCTTTGCGCCCTTCCGATGCCCCATGCATGCCTGCTCCCCTAAACCTGGCGCTCACGCCCGACGCCCAAAAGCCTCAGACCCTCTCCCTTTTTAAAGGAACTATATATATATATATATATATATATATATAAATACTAACCATAATCAGGAACCCTGAAGAGGTAGGTCTTTTCGGCTATACCCCACTTTTTTCAAAGGCCTTGGCTCAAGAAAGACCTGGCAGCAGTGGCCAGCTCCTGCAGAGATGGAGAGTTTAGCTTGCCAGGAATAAGAGGCCCTTCTTTAAGTAGAGTTTCTGATATGAAGGAGGTATCAGAGAATGACAGACTCCTCTCAAAGAATGGGGAGCCTTATCGGAGAGTCTTCTGAGCAACTGTATGTGTAACCGTGAGGGTGCCCCCTAATGTTTCCCAAGCGCCCGCTTCTGCTGTCGGCGCAACCTGGAACACAAGAATGCAAGAAGAATCTTTTAAATCCAAAGTAGTATCCAGGAAACCTTCGTAACACAAGATCCGCTAGAGCACGTCTCAAAACTCTATAGATAAAGAAACCCTGTCCTGCTGCACGAAGCCTACAAAAGCTATCAAAATTCTGCCGACGAGACCCCTTATTAAAACACCATTTTAAACCCCTCAAAACCATAAACCCTAAACCCTAAACCCTAAACCCCAAACCCTAAAAAAAAAACCCTTAAACCACACCAAGAAGCGTATGTCGCCAAGGAGCGTCCAGAACTTAGCCCTCCCAAGCCCCAGAGGTCCTCAACGCTCCCCGGCTGCTCCTTCCAGACCTTCTCAAGGGTTTCTAGGGTTTCTAGGGTTTTGGATTGAGGGTTTAGGGTTTAGGGCCTAGGGTTTGGGGTTTGGGGGGTTAGGGTTTTGGATTAAGGGTGAATGGTTTAGGCTGTTGGTTTAAGGGTTTTGAAGGTGTTTGGATGTTTTGGGTTTAGGTTTTGCAGTGTTTGGGGGTTTAGGGTTCACTCTTGCTGACACTTTTGCGACCGCTAAGGTCACATCGGGGGCTTGTAACATGCTTTCACGTGGAATTGATGGATTTGTGCTGGGTATGCTGCCCTCACCCTGTGACAGTCTGTATTTAGGATCAAATCAAGGCTAAATTTGGGTATGTTATACAGTATTGCCCAATGTTGCAGGGTGGAGCTGTACCCAAGGTCGGTGTTTTGAGGTTCAAGTCTTCAGGGCTTCAGAGACATAGGGCTTGACACGACACTCGACGGTGTTGTGGTGCTTGTCGTACCGCACATCCATACACAGATGTGCATGGCATGAGCCAGGGTATGGGTTTAGGGCTTGAGGCTTTGACTGCTCTGAGGTGATGACCTAGTTGCTGAGTTCCTGTGCTGTCGGTTGCACTGTGCCCACACATTCACCTGGCCTAAAAATCCAACAACCCGAAACACCTTAAACAAATCCTAAACCTCTATGCATTTAAGACCAAGCACACCAGGACCCGAATCCTAAAACTCCCGAAACCCTAAACCTCTGAACAAATCCTACATAAACCCTCTTATTTCAAGGACCAAGCACTCCTAAATCAGGGCCCCTTGCTTTCCCAGAGACTCCAATATCCCCTAATTAAGGAATAAGCAGTAAATCAAACTGGGGATCCTACTATGATTTACGGAATCTTCCTTAATTCAGGGACCCTTTGCGCTATAGATCCCCTATAGATCCCTGACAGGAAGCCTAGGTATATTCCTGAATTTAAGGAATCCTTGGAGTGCCCCGCTTTCCGAACGTCGGATGCCATGGCCTCGGAGACGGCGCCCATGGAGACACCCTTGAAGAACTGCCTGCAGGTTTACTTGGAGGGGCAGGGGACTTAGTAAGTAAGTTACAAGTAGGGTTATAATTGTGGTAATTCCATTTAGGACTCTACTTATATCCTACTTACTAAGTCCCTGCCCCTCCAAGTACCTACGCTCGATGACATAAATCCTGCATTACCCACAATGAAGAATGTACCAAAAATTCCCAGGGTTTAGGATCATGGGCCTACGGTTGATGATATAAATCCTGCAATGACCATATAACAAGGAATATAGCATAATTCTCATAGCTAAGGGTCCTCATAACCCCTAAAAGCCCTTAAAATCACATCCTTATAGCAGCCCCTTATAGTAGCCCTTCTTGTAGACCCATTAGTTCCTATAGTTTCGGGTCCTTAAGGTGATGCTAGATTTATATCATCCACAGTAGAGGCCTGACTGAACCAGATTAGGGGGTTCCTTTACAGCTTCTTTAAAGGGTGTCCTTGAAAGGGTTTCTACAAAGGGCTCCTTTAACGGTTTCTATAAGGGCTGTATACCAGAGGAGCCTCAATGATTAGACTAGGGTTTTGGGAACAGGATCTGTTGAAGTATAGCTTTACAGCGGCTATAAGGCAATACTGGTAGTCGAGCCCCAAATGGGTTGTTGCCAGCATAACGTTCTGGATTATAGGGGGCCAACAGAGGGGAACAAAGGGAGTAGTACACATAAACCCGGTTAAAATCCCATGCAACCTTAATGGAACCCTTATTTAACCTTGTATTAACCTTGTAAACCTTCCACTAGAAACCGTTGAACACCGATAGCACCCTTCGTACTGCGAGCTAGCAGTACAACAGGGGTAGCTATTCGCAGGGCTTTGGGTTTGGGGGGCTTTGGGCTTTTGGGGCTGGAAGGAGGGCTGTAGAACTTTAAAGGTTTGGGGTTTTGAATTAGTTGGATCAGGGTGTGTTTAGCCTGAGGGTGTAGATCGAAATGCCCTGACTGCAATACACTTCTCTGCCCTCTGCGCCCAGTCACTGTGGCTCTGGTGTGAGCTCTTTGCTTTGGATGCTCACCTCGGCGCCGACCCCAACTGTCACACTATGGGCGTTTCATAAGATAGGGAAACAGGGTGCCTGAGTGGAGCCACATTGTTGTAAGGAGGACCCCTGCTTTGAAAACTCTGCTAAATCCCAAACCCCAGGCCGCAAACCCTGAAACCCTAAACCCTGCTATAGAACCCTACAGTACCCTTTAAGGGGGCCCTATTCTATAACCCTGTAGATCCCCGATCCTCAACATAGGGCACCCCTTCAAGCCATCCTCCCAAAACCTCTGAAAGAAGCTCCACAGCAAGATCCTCTTAAGCCAATAAGGGAGAAGACGAAATATCCCAAAGGGCTACCTAAGCAACTCTAGTAAACGCCTGTAACCCCTTAAAATAGTTCATGGTTTGGATAGGATTAAAAGCTTCATGTTTACTGTTTACTGGTTTAAGTACCCATTAAAATGTAAAATGTTCTCCAGCTTTGACAAAGTAAAGCAAAACTAGGATACTCACTAACCTAAGAATAAAAAGGCCTCTCTTTTTGGTATTGGGTAACTAAGGAACCTAGGACTACAAAAAGGGAATAAGGGTACTACTGGGCATCCTAGAAAAGTCCCAGACCCAGTGGCGGCCACTGAGTCTTCCAGGTTCACCACGGCGTGGTACCACCCATCCTGGGGTTCATATAGGCAGGCTTTGTCCATGGCCTACGAAGGAAACCCTATAAACCCGGAAACCCGAAATTGTAAACCTATAGACCCCTAAACCCCTGAATCACAAAAACCGTTTAAACCCTAATAACCCCCAAACCCCGAATAAAACCTAGACCACAAAAAGCAAAAAGGGATCACGAGCCTCGACTGTCCGGTTCTTAGTAGGGAATGGGGCAATGGGTTATGGGGACTACTATTGGGGATTATATAGGGAGTACTATAACTATAGGGATCCATTCCCCCATTCCCTACCAAAACCAGACACTCAAGGACCCCTTGTAGGTCCCTTTAGAGGATCCCTTTAAGGGAACCCTACGGCCCATTCCCCATTCCACAGTTGACCAAGCGTCTGGGATGTAGGCCGAATCTCCGGCTTCAAGGGTGAACTCCAGGGGCCTCGCTGGGCCAGGCTTTATAGGGCTTTAGGGCTTAGGAAATAGGTATTACCCTAAACCCCTAAACCCCTAAGCCCTAAACACGCAGATGAGTTTAAGGTTTAGGGATCCTAAACCCCTAAAGTCTAAACTCTACAGAAGAAGGTGATAGGGCAAGGTCTCCCTGTGCCTTTCTGCCGGCTCCAGCGTGGGATAGACCAGCTGGAGCCAATCCTCGGGTTTATCTGAGGATATACCCACAAGGTGAAACCCATCTTTTAGGGTATCTCGATTTAGGTTTAGGATCTGTTATATAGAAATGTATAAGTAGATGGGATTATGACGTAGGGCTTTGATGAAGAGAACTTAAAGTCAAGACGCTTACAACCTGCTTCTGGCTTTAAAGGGCTTTGCAGTTAATCGTTTGGGAGTTATGGGGTTCGTATGGCCTCGTATGGGTCTCATGCGAGTTTCGAAGCATGCTGAAACGAAAGCGGGTGAGCACTGTCAAGGTCTAGGGTTACATGTCAAGGATTCATTCTGCAGGCTTGTAGCTCATAGTGATGGCTGCTTGCTCCACGTATCAACTCAAGTCCATTGAACAGACCACTCAAGGAGTCAGAGAAGGTACTCTGGCAGTCCCCCTTGAAGGAGCCCTCAAAGGAACCCCTATAGATCCCTTAAAGGAACTCCTATAGATCCCGTAAAGGAACCCCTAAATACCATGTAGCCCTATCAGAGTCGCTGTATCCTGACCCGGGAACTCCTGAAGGTAGGGGTTCTATAGGGGCCTTAATATTTAGAATCGGGTTTTGGGGTATATTATACTATAATTATAATAAGGATCCGCCATAGTAATATGGCAATGAAATATTAAGGCCCGTAGAAGAAGCTTGCTTTTGATTTGGGTTAAGGGTTTAGGGGTGCTTATTACAAACGTCTTTGTTTGGGGCAATTCCAGCCGCGCGGCCGTCAGTGAGAAGCCGCCCCCAGGGCCATCACCGGGTGGATAGTGTCCGGGCGGATATAGGAACCATCGCTTCCTGGCGGAGTTTCATGTTTGGCAAAGAGACGCGGTAGCGAATGATTGCCGTTGCGATGATGCTGGCGAGACAGGATAGTCAACATTGATGTGGAATGAGGGCGGTCCGTCTCTCCTACAAGGTACACAGGGGCCACCAACCCAACCCAGGAATTCTCTCCTTCAATCACCAGGCCCCAAACCCTCCTAAACCCTCCACCCCCAAACCCGGCACCCTGGGGCTGGGGGGCAGAAAGCCGGTCCGTCCATGCACAGTCATCTGCACGCTGGCACCGTGCGTGTGCCAGCCGACGGCGCTCCTTGGCCCACCGAGCCTCGGGCTTTTTAGGGCTCCCTAGGGCTCTAAGGACTCCTATAGGGTTCCTTTAAAGGGGATCCATAAGGGGCCCTTTAAAGGGATCTGTAGGGATTAGGGCTCTAAGGACTCATACTTTTGATGATAAAGATCCTGCATTACCTTCAGGACCCTAATCCATGGGAATTATGGTATATTCCCGATTATGGGTAATGAAGGATTTATATCATCAACCGTAGGGCTCTAAAGACTCATACAATAGGGCTTTTGGGCCCAAAGACCATACTATATAAGGCTTTTGGGCTGCTTTGATCCCTATAGGGTTTACGCCTTCATAGGGGCTGTAATGATTAGAACAGCGTTCCTTTGCAGGGGTCTATAAGGGATCTATCAGGGTACTATACTATAATGGCCTTAACGATTAAAATAGGGTTTTGGGTCCATTATACCATAATTATGATAAGGAGCCCCGGTCTAGTAAAGTAAAAGCCAGAAAGTTGGAATACGATTATCCTAAACCCTTTATGGCAAATTATAGGGTATCCTACCCTGAAACCATATTCCAACTTTCTGGAGTTCCCTTTATAGGTAATCGTTAAGGCCCTTGTATTGGGCCTTCAGGCCTTGAGGCCCTTGTGGGTTCATAATACGGTCTTGGGGCTTTAGGTCTTTGGGCCTTCTGAGTTTACTATACTGAACTTAGAAGTCTAGCAAAGAATTATAGTTGTAGCTGATCCTTAGGGATGATCATAACCAAAAATTAACAAGTATTTCTAAGTACCCCTAAGTTTAGGCCTTTCGGATTTAGAGCTTTGGGGCTTTAGGTTTGAAGTGTTCAGGGTCCGCAGCGGGGTTCTCGAGGCTTACGAACCAACCCCAAAAAACCCCGGACGGATGGGTGAGGGCTTGGGTTCTGTGGAAGGCTGATGAGTCCGTGTGCCATCTCGCATCTTCTGCAGTTCCCAAGAGATTACGGCAGAACCCGTCGCAGAGCTGGCTGGCGACGCAGAATTCGGAATCCCTCCGGAGCTCAAAAGCGGGACTGCTAAGCTGTTGCACCAAGCAACATGTGCACTGCACCGGCCGTGTCGGGCACGGAGAAAGCCGACTCGTTCCATGAGCATATGGCCTAGGATGACTCCATGTAACTGCAGCTGGCAGCCCCCCCCCCCCCCCCAGCACTCGGCTTGCGGTTCGGGGTCAGAGCAAGCCGAACAAGAGCCTGAAGATCGGCTTGGCCGACAAGCTCCGATGTGTCAAAGCTGCGGTTCATGATGACACTGAAAGAACAGAACGAAAACCAAACACAAATCAGCAAATCAGGGTCGGGCACAACTTCTTCTTGACCAGATGCAGGGTGGATGTCCTCGCCGCCGGGCATCCCATCGAGCTTTATGCCCATGTCCTGTGGGAGACAAGGGCTGTCGGGTTTGGGGTTTCGGGTTTTGGGCTTATAGGATTTTGGATTTAAGGGTTAAGGCTTTAAGGCTTTAGGGCTTTAAGGGTTTAAGGTTTAATGGTTTAGGGCTTTTAGGAGTTTAGGGCTCTAAGGGCTTAAAACTCAGGGTTTTCAAGGCTTAAAGCGGCAGACTGCGGATGCGGAGGCTCTCGGAGGCTGCGATCTGCGACGGACTGAGTGGCGCGCAAAGGCATAGCTGGGCTCCAGGAACTCTGCGTCATCGTAGATGCCTTTCGGGATGCTCATGGGCATTTTGGATGCAGCTTGAAGTCTGTTGCACTTCGAAGATCCAGCACAAACCAGGAAATTACGGCTAGTGCGCTTGTCAACACAGGCTTTCTCTCTAGTGCCGGCAGATGTGCGGGAGCTCACCTTGGTCCATCTCGCTCTGAAGATAGTCTTTCAACCTCAGCAACTGTGCAGCGGCTCTGGTATACTGGCATGAATAACTAAGTTTTGGGTGGGTCTACTAACTATCTAGGCTTCTTTATGAGATCGAGAAAATCGATCTGTAGCTGTAGTGATTGTAGTGTCCACAACGCCCAGAATTTTGAAGAATTGTAGTAACCTAGACCCAAGCATAGTAGGGTTTCCACACTAGGGTTTGCTTCTTGCACACAAGGATTTGTGCTAATCTTCAAGGGTTCGGGTTGGCGGTTTTACTACACAGTTCAGCGCATATAAGTTCGTATACTAAGTATCCCTGATTCGCCCCAGTGGGTACGCTTGCGTGTCCGAGAGGCGGAATTTCTCTGGGCCCTTCGCCTCTGTTTTGCGCAATGCTCCAGGAGTAGCCCACTCGAACTGTTGCGCCAGTCTCCTGCGCTAACGGGGATTTTCGGGCTTTTTTCGATGCTCATAGGGTATACACGGCGTTCAGGACCCGGGAGGATCTTGTGTGTGAGGTTGTGCATGACAGAAGTCTGCGGCAAACGGACGGGGTAAACCTCATGGATCATACAGCGTGGGCTTCGCACGTCTTCCGCATGGTTTCATCCACATGTCTCTGTCGCGAGCATTTGGTTTCTGCATCATGATCAGCGCTGCGAATCGGCAAAGAGCAACAGACACCTGTCACTCCCGGGCCCTGAGCTGAACTCACGAATTCGAATTACTAAGGCCCCTATTATCGGCCTTATAGTAGCCCTTATAGTTTAGTTCCCTTTAAAGGAGCTCGGAACCCTCTTCGAAAACCAAGCCCTGAAGCCCACAACCAAGACCTTTCTCCCCCAAGATTGGGCCAGGCCTGGGCCTCGAAAAGCCCCCAATCCCGTGTCCCGAAACCCCAAGACCCTGAATCCCGAAATCCTGAGATCCCTTCAAGGATCCCCTAAAGGATCCCGTATACAGGATCCCTCAGAGGATCCCTTACAGGGTGCCTTAAAAGGATCCCTTAAAGGAACCCCCAAAACGTAGTAAGAATCCTTAACGCATGCAAGCCTCGGCAGCTCGCAGCAGCGCTTCCTGGGTCAGCGCCGGCTGACGCTCCTCGACTCGGAGCAACAAACAACGTTCCCAGGAACTCCAAAACCCCTGAACTCGGGAATATATCTGAAATCTCATAAGGGTTCCTAGTATAATTTATGGTACATTCCTCAATGAAGGGGTTTTGGAGTGGGCTCATAACCCTAAATGGAGCAAGTAGGTTATAAGTAGAGTTATAAGTGCCCTATATGGAGATACCCCAATTATAACCCTACTTACAACTTACTAAGTCCCCTGCCCCTCCAAGTAGACCCTAAACCCTAAACCCCATGGATCCCTTTAAGGAACGGTATAGATCCCTCTAAGGAGCCCTTTAAGAGCCCTTACTAAGTCCCCGGCCGCCCCTCCAAGTAAACCCTCTCTAAACCCCCTGTTTCTCGGACAAAGGCTCTCGAATATCTTGCTACGAGCCTACTTAACGGATCATGGGACTTAGTAACTAAAGTTATTATTAACATAACTATACTTGTAATTACTTATAACCCCAATTAAGGTACCTAGAACCATACTTACTAAGTCCCGTGATCCTTCAAGTAGGCACCTGCCGAGCGCGTTTCGTTGGGTTCTGGACCAACTTGAAACCCAAAGCCCGCGCTCGGTTTGCCCGTTGTCTTTGCTTCTCCGAAAAATTGCAGTCCTTTTGGTCGCGTGCCTGCTGCAGTGTTTTTTTGACTATAGGGGTCCTTGTAGCTCTACAGGGCTCAGGGTCCTTAAGAAGTCCTGCGGCTTGCGCTTTCTTAGCATACGCGAACACCCCATTCGAACTGCCTCTGTGAGGCCCCCTGTCTCTTTTGGACCGAGAAGCCAGAATCCGCGGATCTTGTCGTATGACGAAGGGCCGCAAGGACCAGGCGCGATCTTGCAGGGCTTCGGCGTCCTTGGCCTGGCAGGGTGCCAAAGACGCAGTAAGGGCTCCTTATATGGGAGTTTCCGAAAATAGGGGGGTACCTTTTGTTGGCTCCTTATAATAAGGATCGTAATATTTAGGGTACTATATCTATTGGGATCCCCTATTTTCGGAAACCCCTTATAAGAGAGGATTCTACAAGGACTTTTGGTGCTTAGTTCTTATCCGGGACTTAATAAGGGCTCGCCATCAAGGATCTACAAGGACTGTTAGGGCTGTTACTTGCAGGGATAGGGGTGGTTTGGCTTACGAGTTGTAAGGCTTTCCACGGGTGTCTGCTTCGGGGCTTGAGGGTTCAAGTTCAAGGTGTCGGGGCGCGAAGGACCCAATCCGAAACCCATCTGTGTTTTTTTTTGGTGGGGGAGGGGGGGTGCCTCATTGTACTCATTGTAGAATATACACCAATCAAAACCCTATTCTAATTATTAAGGCCCCTATACTATATTAACCTTCTTCTTCCCCAAACCACTGCAAAGCCCTGAAGACTTGGAGGTCTTTGCCACGGCTCCAGTTACTTGGAGAATAGGATACTGACCACATACATGCGTAACTCATTCACCCTAAACCCTAATCCCTAAACCCTAATCCCTAACCCTAAACCCTAATCCGTAATCCCCAACAGCCCCATAAACCCTATAAGCCCTATAAAACCCTATAGCTGGAGCCCCATGGAACCATAAGCATCAGAGCTAAAGCGGCTGGACACCAGGCCGGAGTCATGGGAACAAGGGCCTCCATACAGTAACAGTCTATAATAGGGCTACTATTAAGGGCATTATATATCTATATTATGAATATTATCCAACTGTTACTGGGTGGGGGCCGCACCCAAAGTATAGCAGCCTTGACAAGTGGAATAGGCTTCCTTTATAAAGAGGGTCTATAGGGGATACTATATGGGTACTATATATTATAGGAGCTATAATAATTAGCTTAGGGCTTTGGGGTTACACTTTAGCTTAAAGTATAAGAAGGAACCTCCCCCCAAAAAATAGCCTGGGTATTTATTAAGGCCCCTAAAGTAGCATTCCTAATGGGGTCTTTGCTATAAGCACAGTTCTATCATTAAGGCCTCCGCACAAACATTCCCATGCCCACACTGATTGTACACATACATAGTACACATGCACACACACACACACATGCAGAGAAACACACAAGTACAAGCACACATAAACGGAAAAATCGTATGCATGTAAACATGAACACAACATCTAAATGCCAATACCAACATATGTAGAGGTACAGACCACTGCCTGTATATATGTTAAACGGGCATGCACAACATCGCAGATGATGATTCTTGTCATTACCATACCATCAACGACGACCGGCACCAGAAACTTCTGAAAACATACTGAAATAGGTGTCGATTTCAACAGTCCCCGAAATTATCTACAATCAGCGTGATACGTCAAACAATAGGGGAAACTCTGCGTCATCCCAAATCGATGCCTAGTGAAGCCCTAGCACTGCTTCCCACGAACTGGCTGATGGGTTAGGGCTTGAGGTCTAGGGTTTTGGGGTTTGAAACGGCTTGGGGTTTGGGACGTGGAGTTTGGGGTTCAGGCCCGAGAGCTTGCGGTTGAAGTGTTAAGGCTGGATTGAGGGGCTTCCGACTCTAGGATTTGGGAGTTTCCGAAAATTCGGGGTACCTTATTTTGGGGCCCTTACAATAAGGATCCTACTATTTAGGGTACTATATATTAGGGCCCCCCATTTTCGGAAACTCCCATTTGTCGGTCCAGAAGTGCTCCTGCCTGGAAGGAGGCAATGTCACAGAAGCTCGCCTCGCCACGCCGATGGCTCAGATACTCAGGCAATGGAGCTTGAACCTGGGATCGTCACAGCATGGATTCGTTAGAAGGGGCCCCGTGGTATAAAAGAATATAATAGGGCCCTAATATAATCCTTATAGTCACTATTACAGGGTGGGGGCAGCTTCTAATGGATTCGCAAGTAAACGCTCGATCGGCGACAACCCCAAGCTCTCAGTGTCGGAAAACCCGACCAGGTTCCTCTGTGGAAGGATGCGCTGCGTAGATCATTGGCGACATCGGCCCAGATCCCCAGAGTCCTAAACCCTAAAAACCCTCTAAAGCCCTAAACCCTATAAGCCCTACACCCTTAAACCCAAAACCCTATAAGCCCTAAACCCTATAGGCCCTGAGCCCCAAACCCTAAAGCACATGAAATCTGAGGCACTCCGTCGCTGTCCCGCCAGCTGCGACAGCCGACCGCGCCTGGTGCAACGATAGTGCCGGAAACTCCTCAAGAACCCTCAGGATCGAAATCGGCGTAAACAGGATGGGATCTATAAGGGTTTCTATAGGGCTGCTATTAGGGTACTTTACGAGTAGTTCTCCAAATATTAGGGTCCCCTTTTTTGGTCCCCAACATAGTACGGCATGCTTGCAAAAAGGACCCTAAAAACGATCCTAATTTAGAAGACTACCCATTTTAAGAACCCTATAGGCCTATAGGATTGGAAGAAGCAAAGGGTTCTTAGTCCGGTTCCTACATTTGTCTTGACGTCCAGCCCATTTCAAGCGTGAGATCCCGTGATACTGTCGATGGACAAAATGCTGGACCTATTATAAGGACTATACCATAGTTCCCATAGTTTAGAGTCCTTAGGGTCATGCAGGATTTTGTCCATCAACAGTATGTGGAGTCCAAGACTGTTGGGTTCCGCGGGGTTCCTGATTGTTACTACCATGTTGCTTGCGTTCCGTACTACTCTTCCCACCATGTTGGTTGGGGGTCGAAGTAAGTTGTAGGGCACGGCTGAGAAGTGGGGTAGTGGAACAGACACTTGCAAACCCTACCTGCTTCTGTCCTCCAAATACTCGCCGTTCTCTCTGTCCAAAGGCAAACAAGGCAAATTAGGGTCCGTGTTGAGCATTACAAGATTGATGTAGTGCTTGGAAGATACACAATAAGCACTAACGTCGATACATACTATATGGGTACTTTAAGGGTCCCAGAAGGTATTGTATAAGGGTACTATAGGTGCAGACTTCTCAGCCACCATCGCCTCGAGACACGAGCCTCGGAGTCGCCAACCACGTCCGGCCCCCAAGCAGCCTTGAGGAATCATTGAGGTCTTATAGGGCTTATAGGGTTTTATAGGGTTTATAGGGTTTATAGGGTTTATAGGGTTTATAGGGTTTTATAGGGCTTACAGGGCTTATGGGGTTTCATTTAGGGTTTTGCACCTGGTTTTTTGGAAAAGGCATCACCCTGGCCTGGCCCTATATAGACAGCCGGAGCATTGTATATAACCTGCCTCTACAAGTAAGGCACCACAATTGCCAGAAACCCCCACACGACTCTAAACATTAAGCCCTAGACTAGACCCCAAACCCTACCCTTGGCCCTGAAACCCAGAAACCTTAAACACTCGAATATTCATATTATAGTATGTTCTAGTATGTTACAGTATATTGTTGTATATGAAAGAATATTGCAGCATCACATAGTATATTATAGTATGTTATAGTATGTTATAGTATATTATTAAGTTTTTGTATATTATAGTATGTTATCGTGTATCACAGTATATTATAATGGTTATAATACAGTATATTACCGTAATCAGAGTGAATCACGCAACCATTGCAGGAGCCTCGCGGAAACCAAACACGCCGAAGCCACCAAGGCAGTCCTGACAGCGACGTCGATTTTCTCGATTCCTTCATTGTTGGGAGAGGAATAAACATGTACATTGCTATTCCATATTAGGTTCAAGTACCCATAAAAAATTGAAACCTATGACAAATTCGAGGGTCATTGGGCCTTAGTACTGCCCGAAGAAAAAGGTTTAGGGTTTAGGGTTTAAGGTTTAGGGTCAGGGTTTATAAGGGTTTAGGGTTAGGGTTTAGGGTATATAAAGGTTTAGGGTCGAAGGTTTAGGGTTTATAAGGGTTTAGGCTTGGAGTTTGGGGTTTGTAAGGGTTTAGAGTTTAGGGGAGGAAATCATGGGGCTTAGTAACCATAGGATTCTGTTGCTTCAAAGGGTCCCTTCAAAAAATCTTCAAGGGATCTATAAGGGTTCTAAAAGGGGAGTTTTAGGGTTTACTTGAAGGATCCTGGGACTCAGGAAAGTGGGTCATTATTAAGGTAACTAACTATACTTCAAAATTACGCATAACCCCGATTGAGGTACTTATAACCATACTTACTAAGGCCCATGATCCTCCAAGCATGGCGAAAAATTCTAGTCGTAAAGCGGTCCATGATGCGGAAAAGTTTACAGTTCTGTTTCTTACCAGAGGTTCCGTTTGCTGTTCTGATTTATATTCATGTTGTCGGTCCTGTTGAAGCAGTAATGTGGTCCTTGTACAGTCAGGCTCGTGGAATCGTGGAAAACGGGAGGGTGTGTTGGCGGGGCCATTTAGAATGTAATTCGATTGTTAATTGAACTATGCTTGACTTTGCTACTTGCTGCATGTAGTGCATTGAGTTGTTACCACATCCCCGTGCTAACTTTGTGTACTGTCCGTAAGCAATGCTGCCTGCCACGCGCGCAACCGGCACGGTGACGGTGCGCTGCAGTCATGGCAAGGAACCCGAAAGGCTGTGCGTCCAATATACGGGCGGTAACAAGTAAACTGACTGAGGTTTGGTCGTAGATGAAAGATATTGTAGAAAATATTTTAAAAAAAAACCTACAGACTAGTCTTACCAAGTTTCGAAACACGAGGGCTTTGATATGACACCTGCAAGCCTGAAAGATTCGACCTTTCAGGCCCAGGCGGTTGGAAATTCAGATAGGGCACATCCCCGATGGACATTGGCAAACTACTGGCACTATGGTCGTAGGACGCCTTTGGAGACTTGTTTCGCTGACTAGCTTGTCATTGTTACCTAGCAGAAGCATGCGCAAGCCTGTGCCGAGCCAACACGCTCACAAATCTAATGTCACCGCCGCAGCTTTGTCGAAAGAGGTTTTGGGATGCGGCCAAACCGAACACACATCGACCAGATGGCGAATGGGGTTCGATAGTTGTACCATGTGCAGGTATGCGACAAAAGAAGCTCTCACGGCTCGGAATGCAACAGCCTTAGGAACAACACGGCGCAATCGCATGTCTTTTCCCAACCATCCGGCACGCGTGTGTCCAGCGCCAAGTTGCCGAGGAAAACACGACCTGGCCCACAGGGGCAATAAGAATATAGAAGAACAGGAACAAACACTCGCCAGCGTTTGTGATCACCCTGCGATCATGCCAAAACCGAATTCTTATGTCACCGCACACCCCCCTTCTTCAGAACTTCGCAGCCCTGCCAGGTTCGTGCATTCGTTTCAGGCTGCGGTAGGTGTACCAGTAGCCGGAAAGACCTACCTTTGCAAGGAACCATATGGTTAAAACATCTTGAAGAACCCTAAGAAGGTAGGTCTTTTCGGTTTTAGGTGCATTAAGATTACATAAGGGGTATTGGGCCCTTTAGGAGCTCCAACTCCAAGCAAAAAAAAAGGACGGACCCTACGATGGATCCGTGCTGACGTAAACTCAAAACAGAACAAGACATAGAGCTTAGCGCTGAAGGAGTTCATGATGTCGAATTCACACCATGTGAGAAGGTCTGGGTGTCACAGGCTCGCATAGACTTGCCGACTCCCTAGGACGCTGCATTGCTTCAAAGGCTTTCTGGACTGCAGATTGCACCATCAAGGAGGACTACCACTCACTCAAACCCATAAGATGCCTGAAGCCTGAATACAAAGGCTCCAATCCCCAAATCCAGTATCACCAAGCTCCGGAAGCCCATGGACCCCCGACCATTGAATACTTAAGAACTAACCGTACAGGATCACAATTAATCAGCACCGTCTTGCAGAATTGCGAGGAGTGCAGACACTTGGTCTGCACCTTGTCTAGCCAAGCCTCGTCGTTTCGCACGAAAGAGTAGCTACAAAAGCACGAGAAGCAGCCGTGCAAGTTAAATGGCATCGCAATTAAAGCACTGTTGGCCCCTCAACGTTAAGATTGACGTCTTCTCTTAAGGACTTGCGTCTCAAAACGGCTGGCCCCACTCAACATGGTAAGAACGGCCGGCGTGCGTAAGCCCTACAGGCCGATGGGCGGCAACTTCACCGGCAAAGGGCAACCCGATTCCACAGTGCTCAGGATGTCAAGGCTCTGAGGAACCTAGCCGAACTACAGACAAGCTGGGCCAGACGAGGAAGTGTAACAAAGACAAACGCCGAGATTCCCCAGTCCCACACCATACCCGCAACTCCGAAACTCCCTTCTTGCAGCACAAAACATCCAAAGAGCCGGACACACCGGGCAGTATCCGGTATCCGGTCTAACGATTACCATAGACTCGGCGACAGGAAAGCTCTGCGAGTGCGCCTCTGTGGCCAGCAGCCGGTGCAGCGAACCCAGCTCCGCTAGCTCGAGCAGCAGGTGCACCTACGGGCTGACATGAGATTTGCTGCATTTAGGAGGGCAATCGACCTATCCCTGCACGAGCAGACTGCAATTACAGACTTACCAGATGCATCCAAAGAGCACGAGCCCTGTCGTGGGTGACGCCAAGGAGGCCTCAGAAGAAGTCAGACGATCAACGCCGCAAAACAAGACAAGTCATGCTCTTGCCAACGCTGCATTCCGTGATTTGGCCTCCGACGGATGACAAACGGGCTGTCTGTCCTTGGCATTTCACATAACGCTCTACAGCAGAGTTCCCTGTCACAGCTTTGAAATTGAGGCTCTAGCATCATCTGCACCTGCATTTCCCGCTCGAGCAAACGCGCCGCCCCTTCCTGGATCCAAAGTGCGGAGCTTCAAGGCTGGAGTGTGAACCACATAAAACACCACGCACTCTACCAGGACCATGACGACCATGACGACCAGGATCACCTTTACCACCATGACTCATGACCAACAAGATCACATAGACCACCAGGGCCACCACCACCAAGGGGCGCAAGGATCACACTTTCCACCAGAACCACCATCTCCACCACTACCACTACCACTGCCGCCAGGGCACCATAAAGATAGAGGCAAACCAAAGGCAACATCCTCAAACTTTTTCCACCAACGGCGAGATTAAGAATCCACATTACGGACCCCCGAAAAGCCTCGCAGTATCATAGTAATAGTATGGTCGTCTGGCCCTGCTGTATCTGAAGCACTTCGATCAGCCGGGCCCTGCCAGGACTTTAGCCACTTCCCTCCTTGGACAAGCACAGATGAGGCCGATGCATTGGAATCTGCAATGAATCGCGCGTTTCCGTCAAAGCCACAGCAGAACTGCGGAAATCATACCATCTTTGTCCTAGTTCCACTAAAGTGGGGTTTTGACGACGGAGTGATGTCTTCTGCAATCTTTCTCCAGGGAGAGAAATGGCGGAGGGTAGCAATACGTACAAGCGTAGGGCATAGGGTTGATTTCACATCTGACGGCGAGAATACACATCACCCGAGTGTGGACGCTGTTTCAAGGAATTACACATCAGTGGCGAGAATACGCATCAGCAGATGCTAATCCCCATCCAGGCGCTGTTTTTTAGTCTCCACGTCGCGCAAGCTCAAATTTCAGGATATGCCGCGGACGGTGGGGTTTGAAGCACTTGTCATTGCATTCTAGAGCACATTTTGGCACTGAATCCCCAAGTAGACGCTGCAAGCACTCGATTCCACAAGCACCCAATCGAGACACACATCATTGGCAGCACCGCATCAAAACCAGCCATTCCCCATCTAGACGTTCGACTCCGCAAGCACCCACTCGAGACGCACAGCAGTGGCATCACACACATCAAAACCAGCCGTTCTTCATCTAGACGCTCGATTCCACGTGGAACCATGGGATCTTTCAGAAATATAGAACTTACTGCTTGACATGCGTTTCTCGAGTGTGGACGCTGAACGATGCGTATTTCAACCCAGCGATGCGAGATAAAGCGACATTTGTACTTATGCTGATCACCCTGGCCTTCACCAGGTGCTGCTTGCTGACGCTCTTCAGAGCGTACAGCTGGGGCTGCCCAGGCGGACCTGTCATTCGACGAGCTGGCAACACCGACACAAAGGAATGGTGGCAGAGGTCCCTGCCTTTGTCGACCGCCCGCACTTCACCCCATGCGCCTCGCCCCAGCACTCCCCGGTTCCTGAGCCACTCTTGCTAGGATGAAGGTCATGGTCGAGTATTTGTGGAGTTCGCGTTCTCAGGATCGGGCTGGAAGCCCTTGAGGCCGATGCGCGGCAGGCTGACCTACAAAGTGTAACCGGGAACCATGTGCCACAAGACTTGCCTGCGTAGCAGCGCTGCTGACTGCGTCTGCCTGCGCAAGGGCCTCCTCCAGGCGGGCGCTTTCCTGCAGAATGCGGCTCCAACTGATCTGGACAGCGGAGGCTGATCACAAAGCAAACTGGGATTCGATGCTTTTCCACAACCCTGTGTCTCCTTGTCGCCACTTCATATGGATGATATCCCACTGAGGTGCATCAAACGTGCCTGACAAAACCCAGCATCCCCCGTGGAAGCCGAAGTTGTGTACGCGACAATCACAATAACAAGATCACAACGATGATGCCGAAACTGCTTCGGTCGCTTCGTGCGTGCATTTGATGGACACAAACGGGAGCGAGCATGTGCGAGGAAAACAAAGATTAAGAGGACACGGGCGAGTGTGAATGCGAGCCAGAAAGAACAAGGACAAACAAAGCAGGCACTCGGATGCACGTGCAGACGCTACAAGTCAGTTGACGCACTCCACTTTGCCGCTGTCACAACATGCTGGATGACAACGCAGTAGGGATGGCTGTGTTGTCAAGGATACTGCTGCTGACTGCCGACAGTGATGCTCATGATTGTTCAAAGCAACGGTGGCAAGTATGCCGACACTGGGTGACCATAAATACAACGGCATACATGCCAGCAATGGGGTGAGCGCTGTCAGTCAAGAGGGCATCGAGAATCCATCGCTGTCGCAGCACAGCAGTGGCAGCAACAACAGTCGCCGTCATGGCGCATTAAACGGGTCATGACGTAATTAACTAGTGCGATCGTTATGTCCTACAAACAGCTCTGAACGATGTTCATAAACAGTGTCGGTGGTGGCAGCAGCAGCAGCAGCGGGAGTAGTAGCGGAGGACTGGCTGGTTGAACTGGCAGTAATCGCAGCGACAGCAATACCAAGCAGTGGAAGCAGCAACAATAGCAGTGGTCGCAGGGCAGAGGCAACAGGAGTGGTAGCAATGATGAGGCAGTCGACTCTTGCGTAACAAGAATTCATGCTGGTTGTGACACAGCCGATGTTGACAATAGCAATAATGATGATATCTAAAGCAGTGGCCTGCGTACTAACAATTAACAGTCGTCGGGATGAGCACGTCCGATCCAACTAGAATGACAATTAAGGCTCCGGGCAGTAGACAAAACACCAAGGCACTGGGTTCTGCAACTGAAGACGGACTACATGACAAGGGAATAGGAAGCGGCCCGGTAGATTTATGAAACCGCCCGAACACAAACCCTCAAACAGCCAGCGCATAGATCTAGCTGCCGAGGGCTTCCTCGAGCCCTGTGCACACAGGCCCGGTCGCGCCTTGCCCCTGTAAGGATTTGTAAGGCGGCGACCTGGTCAAGCTGATTCCGGTGCAACGCAGGGCAGTTGTAACGGAAGTGCGAGTTTATCTAGTGGGGGTTGCTTTGCTGCGGCAAGAGCGATGGAATGCAATTGCTGGTGGTCGACGTCGTAACAGCCGTAAGAGTGGCTGCAGCTGCAACCTGCAACAACAGCAGTAGCAGCAGTAGCAGCAGCAGTAGCAAGGAGGTTCAGGAGTAAGAGTTTTATCGGGGGTGGTAGTACTGGCGGCAGTAGTAGTAGTAGTAGTAGTAGTAGTAGTAGTAGCAGTAGTAGTAGTAGTAGTAGTAGTAGTTGTTGTTGTACTAGTAATTGTTGATGTACTATGAGGAGGAGGAGCAAGAGGAGGAGGAAGAGGAGTAATAGTAGTCGTGGTTGTCGTCGTGGCCACTGGTTGCTGCGCCCATTGAGCTTTGAAGCGAGCAAGAAACGCGGCTGAAGCTTTGATTCCGTAATCACCTAAAGACTTAGAGCTGGGGCTCAGGCTCCCAGAGACCAGTAGTCGGCCTGGGCAGACGTCTTCAGAGCAGGGAGAAACTAAAGGCCTCTGGGGCACAGGAGTGTCCAGCTTGTGTCTACTACATAAAACATGCGCAATAGCACAGGACCTTACATGGGTTGCTAACTAGATGTGGTTTCTTGCTTACTGACCTTGTAACCTAAACCCTAAACCCTAAAACGTACCCGCCACCCGTCGCAAATCAAGGCCGGGACCAACAAACCTGTGTCACCCGTGGCATGGTCAATAATAGGGATCTAGAGTAAATGAAACGGTTTCCTTACTCTGGTAACTTAAGTTTAAAATGCCTTAACAAGAACCCAGTGGCTCCTCGATACGCGCGAAAGATCACTTGCAAACGGCATCAATGAAAGGAGAAATCCGAGGCGCAGCCAGGTGGTTGTGCTCGTGCGGCTTGACCTCAGGGGCTGGCTACTCCACGTCACAAAACTATTCGGCAAAATCTTGCGGATGCACATCTGCAGGGTCCCAACACGCCAGCGACTGATTGGCCATGACATCCCGACTGCATTCAGTCGTGACAAAACCCACACATGTAGGGCCTGCGGCTGCCACAGACCTGCAATGCTGTTTAGCGAGCATACACGAGCCCTTTTTATAGGGAAGGTCCCCGTCTTGCAAGGGCTGTTCATGTCATGCGCATGCCTGCTACTTTGCGCGCCATCGGCATGCTTACAAAGAAACAACATTGATCCATCGAGTATGCGCAAAAGGATCGGTAGTACCCGACACGCGCAGAAGACCAAACCTCTTTCACTCCAAGACCCCTGCAGACTACTAAGGCCGACAGTACTCAAACACTGCCGTGAAAGAATGTCGAACAAGCAAACACTGTCCGCAAAAATCACGGATGAGACTGCAATGGAAGACGCATAAACTAAGCGAGCTACACCAAAACAGTTTGCTGGACAGAATGTGCAGATCTGGGCTCCGATCCGCGATCTCAGGAGCCATGTACTCCGGAGTGCCGCAGACGGAGAACGTCTGGCCTGCAATGTGTGAACCGACTTTAAACTGAGTCTAACCGGGTGCGCGGGTTCATGGCTAGGAGGGAGTGTCGGTGTGCCAGTGAACGCCTGCCCACCCGAAGCAATAGTGCAAAGCCGGGCTCTTAAGGAAGCTGCAGGAACTTAATCTCAGATACCATCACAAGGAAACCATATCACGAAATATCGATGCCATGCCAAGGTGGGCTTCAGCTGAGGAGGCTTGTGGCTGGAGGGCTTCGAAACTGCTTGGTCACCGGATCACTGCACCAAGCTTACCGAGTGAACGAAGCATGACCTTGCACATGGGATTGTGTTGGGAGTGGCATAGACAATCGCAACAATGCTGGTCGAACCTGTCTAGGCGTACGCTGCAACTGCCTTATGCTGCTTGCGGAGGACTGACTTTGCCTCTGTCATCGCAGGGGGCAGCGCCACCTGTCGACGAAGTTCTCTGTTTGTCCGACACACTCTGCATCCACATGCCGGTTAAAGCATGAATGAAGATGTGTCAGTGCATCTAGTCGTCCCTTTTCCATAGCGAGACAGAAATAGGTTTTAAATGCAAAACCTTGTTTTCTGCGATTCTGCTACACGCACAGAAACTTATCATATGAATGTGCACACGCACACGCACATGTGCGTATGTCATGCATGCATGTATGTACGTAAGATGTATGTATTTTTGTATGTACGTACGTATGCCTGTATGCATGTATGCATATCATACATGCATGTGTGCATCATCGAACGCACTGTTCACACATCCAAACCGCTACAGACAACTCCGAAGACATGGTTAGCTTCACATCGATGTCCCAACTACATTTTTAGAATCTCAGGATCTCATGCCTGATGCTAGACATGAACCCTTCCAATTTCAAACGAGCCAAGTTAGACTCAGACAACAAATCGCAGCCCCAGCAACTCTAAGAACACCGGGCAGGCCACGTCGGAACCGAGTTTCAAGCATCCGCTTCTCCCGAGCTCTTGCGACCACCTCCCAAGGTTGCATGTCACTTCTGGCGGATGCTTCCGAGCAAGGGCAAGCTCTTTTGCGTCTTAGCGTTCAGATCTTGGTGGCTACGGCCTAGTCACGGCTCCGTAGCCACGGGGCCACTGGCCAGGGGGCCACTGCACTCCATGCCCGCGTCGCGAGTCGAAGGGCATGCGCTCAGCTGTTCCCGGAGGTCCAGACGGTCCCGGCAAAGCCTCAGTCACATTTACATAACATAATAATCAAGTCAAGTATATGCATGCATGTATAGTTTCACCTCTTCCAAGGAGTATAACAAGGAGTCTGGGATAAAGACTGAGACTTCCAAGGCTTGCACGTGCTATGATGCTGCACAGCACAAGGCTTTGCCAAATAAAGCAAGTGGCTAAGCGCGAGCTGCCTGCATGCTCGGAATTAGCTGCCGCACAGACCAGGTAGTATGCTACGAAGCCAGATAGGCAATGAACAGAAGCCAGGGCAGCATAGCTGCGTAAGATTCTGCAATTTTCCACTTTGTCATTGAAGACCATGGCATACCATGTCCGGATGTGCTCAGGGTTGGCCTGGTACCACAACAAGGCCACTGTGGAGGTGCACAGGAGTCCCCTCAGAATGATCTGGATAGGCAACGCGATGGCAAACTTGCCCAGGTCGTTTGCACCGACACCAATCAGCAATCGAAGTGGACCCGTTATGCCAACGTCGAGCATTGCAGTCCGCGGAACTTGTGGCTTGCTCGGGGCAAACAAAAAAGCGAGCATGGAGCAAGCACCCATGAAGATCAGGATGCCCAGAGCGATCTTGGCGAGGTCAAACGGTGCAATTCGCACTGCTGGTATGACTTCGCCGTGAATTTGCTCTAGGATTTTGCTGCCATGCATTGACCAAAAGCTGCCAAGGACCTCAGAGAGACGGCCTTGGAATCGCGCTTCCTCACCGAGGTCTTCGGGGGCAAGCGTTTCCAGCAAGCGGAACAGAAGTTGGTGCGCTTGACGCCCAAAAAAATGAATCGCATTGCCGGTTTTGTCCGCCGGACCTGCTGCGCTGGCAAGGACCAGTGTCGCTACCAACAAGGTCACGTCCAAGGCACCGTGCAGAGTCAGAGCCAGGGAAGTCCCCATGCCCAAATTATGTTCCTTGCATAATGCCTCTGAGACTGGTCGAGATGCGTTCAGCATCAGCAACACCGTAGACACCAGCGCCCACAAAAAGCCAGGGCGCGTTTGCCTGGGAGCGTTGAAACTTGAGCGGCGTCGTTTCTCCATCCTCTCCAGGCTGCGCATCTGCTCGGCCCGGAAACGATCCAACAACATCCGTATGAGAGTTTCCTGCGGCACCATGCGGCGCGCAACACGAAGTGCAAAGGCTTTAAGAGGGTAGCTTTTGCGCAGCAGCTCGTCCGCCTTTGGACCAAGCCGCTCATCTGCCGACAGTGCAGAAAAAAGCAAGCCATTAAAGCGTTCATTGAGTTCACTCATTCCACCACTTCCAAGCTGTCCGGAGGGGAGGCGGCTGTCCTCGGCCCTGGTATTGACCGTTGGCCAATAGAAGTCCCGCCTTGCTGCCATCTCGTCCATGTCCTCTGGGGACCACTCTGAGTCTGAACAATGCCATGCTTTCCAAAGGCCGTCAGCTGTGCGCTGTGCTCGTGGAAGAAGGTCCGAAGGGAGTTTCTCAGCCACCACTGCAGCCTCAGCATCCAGTATCTTTCCATTGATCACGAGAGCCAGCTCCTCCCAGTTCTTGCCGAAGTCCGTAGCAACTCGTGATTTCGGAATCGGAGCGTGGCCTTTCTGGGGATGAGCAGCAAGATTGGCGATGAATACCGTTGGTAAAAGACAAATCTGGCAGCCAGGAATTTCGCTGAAGATGCGGACCACCAAAAAAACCTTCAGGCACGCGAGAGGTAGTGAGCGCCACAAAGCATTCCGCCGGCGCAGAGTCTCCCACTCCTCGACTGTCTCGCCGCGGAGGATGCGTCTCCACCTGGTACCGACGACGTAAGGAGAGTCCAAATCAACAATGGCGAGCCCCGCCTCAAGGAATTGCTTCCTTTTTCGGAAAGCAAAGAAGCCACGGATGTTTGTGATGCACACACCAGAGAGCAGCACCAGCAAGGACGCCGTGAATTTAATGTCAAAGTCGATGCCCTCTTCTCCGGCGGCTATAGCCTCGATGTTCCTCGAAATTGCCACCCAGCATTGCACCCATGAGAACAAGAAAAGGAACATTAACCCCAGCTGTTTGGCCATCTGGAAGCTCAACGGAACGGGAGCACCAGCCTCCTCTGCTTTGAGCGGCAGCCTTCCAGGCTGCTGTTTTTCTTCCGGAGACTGCAGGTGGTTCGCCATCTGTGGGCTTTCCATCAATCTAAATACAGTACTTAAAGGCCGAAGGGAATAAGTAAGTAAGGTTATAAGTAAGGTTCTAGTGAGGGTAACCCCACTTACGACTTAGGAGACTTATATCCCCAGCTATGGGCCCTACCTAGTAAGTCCCCCGGGCCCTTAAGTAAATGATATGGAGACAGGGCAGTCCTCTCTTAGGACCTGGCCACTGCAAAAGCCTGCGAGGTCTAGAACGTGGCAAATGCTTGCTGACGCTTCGAGCCGCGAGTCGTTGCAAAATCACAGGTATATAAACCTTCTACGTTTGTTTCTTGCGTACACTACATAGTAGACCATGTAGTACACTATATATATATATATATACAATATGCTGTTTGGCTACCATATAGCGTACTTAATCGTTATCTAACGAGCATGCTATATGGTGTACTACTAAAGCCTACCATTACACAGAATTCGAAAGTTTGCTGTAATCTGCCGTGCTTGATCCTGCCTTGCTCCCCTCTAAGCCCCAAACCCAAAGCCCGAACCCCACCATCAAAAGCAACAAAAGCAATACCACACTCACAGATGCAGCCCCGGAAGTCCCCTCGGGACACGCCGCAGCCGTGCCTTCCTGCACTGAGGAGCCCGTGCATGTGGTGGCAGGTGCAGTGGATGCTTGCACATGGCATGGCAAATCACTCCCCAGTACTCGGAGAAACAGTTTACAGCGAGAATAAACAGTATCAAAGCAATGACGACAATAACCGCAACACTCTCACACTAGCAGCCACTAGTCACCGTCAATATTAACAAGTACGACCGTGATCCTTGAAGAATCAGCCAGAGCAACAGGCAAGGACGGCAAAGAGACACTCATCGCAACGCTACTTGCAGAGGCAAGACCACGCATAGCAACAAAGCATTAGATTGACAGCAAAACCCAGACCGTGCGTCACTCAAAACCCGCAGACTGGCCTCCTGGTCCAGGGCTTGCATCTGCAAAGCCCACGCCTGAGCTCGTAAGTGGTCTGGGTCTCTAGGGATGTTTGTGGGAGTTGTGGCTCTGTGTGCGAATCAGACTGAGGTTCATAGGTGCGCAGCTTGAGGGAGGGATCTGCGCATTTTCGCAACCTGAAAAGCCCAGTCGCCTGCCTAGACCCTGATGCCCAAACAGATCCCCTAAATCACTAAAAACCCCGAAATCGCGTAGCTCCTAGCCTAAACCTCTTACCTACACCCTTAAAATCCTTAACCTGAAACCCTAGAATCCTAGAAGCCTCTGGCCGTACTCCCGACGCTTCACTCCAAGCTCTGGGCGGATTCACGACACCATGGCCTGGGCATCGACGCGCTGCTCTCAGTAATCAAGTAAAACGTCTGGAGCGGCCTTCTGAAGCTGCACACGAGGACGTTCCTTATCACATAAACTTCAACATCTGACGGTGACGGGTGCGCCTCAGAAGGCACCATTCCACTCATAAACGGGGCAACTAGGTGCTGTTGACGTGCCTGCCAACTGTGGAGTATGCAGGAATCAGGAAGGACGAATCCGCATGTTACACAAGTGGATGGGAGTGACTTGGTGCACAACCCCAACAAACCAGAGATGGACGAACAGTGTCGTCGTCCCTGAAAAAAGAAAAGTAAAGTAAGAGCCCTGTGTCCGCCGACTGTACTCCCGTGTTGGATTGAGAGCAGACAGCAGACGAAGAAAGCAGAGGCCAGCACGATGCAAGGACTTCCAATGGGTGGTTCTCAAACTTAGGGTCGCTTTTAGGTACTCTAAATATTAGGTGCCTTATTAGAATAGGCGACCCTCATATTAACATATATTAACAACACCCATATATGCCAGATAACAAGGAAGGCTTAGCTTCTGCTCGTCGGTCCAGGCTTAAAGCGCAGCGACATGCTTGCCTCCGTCATCCTGCAAGCGCCACGACGATGGTTCTGGGTTTAGGGTTTAGGGCCCCCGTGGGGGCTGGAACCACGGTTCGCGGCTGAGTGCCGCACGCTGTCGTCCCGCCACCTCTGGGAGCACAGCAAGCACAAAGACCATCGTCTGGAAAGCATCTATAGTCTATATAGTGGTCAAAAGGATGCCTTGCAAAGGGCTTTCCTACTACCGTAGCAGATTGAAAAAGATGCATCACAACAGTGGCTTTGCGACCTTCCAAGGACCCGGCAAGATGCGATCCGGCTCTTGGCCACCAGGCCTGGGATTCGAGCTTTAAGGAGTTATGGTTTGGCTACTGCTGGCCGCATTCCACATTCCAAACTTTTGCCGATCAGCGACGTTCTTCTCATCGTGTCCAGTTTAGAGACGTGACAGAATGATCCGGTTCTACAGTCCTGCCGACAGAACCTGGGCAACCTCCATGCCTTTAGAACATGACATAGAGGCTGCTGACAGCTCTGTTCGTGGTGCGTGGTGTTGTACAGCAAGTGTTCCTCTAATCGACTCTAATGACTTCGGCTTGAAAAAATCTCAAGGGCCTCTCCAGGGAGATGGACTTCGCCAACTCCTCAGAGGATAAAACGAGCGAAGATTCCGAAGCTCAGAGCTCCAGCCAACGCTCGAAGGCCACCGGACGTCGAACCATCCGGCAGCGTGTCCTGTCCGGTGCCGCTCATGCTTGCAGTCGTGCCATACTGTTCCTCTGGGTTGGGATCCGCAACGTACAGCATCTTGCGATTTGCCTCGGCACAGGTGGTCAGGTCCGTGCGAGTATAGTCGTCACAGTAGAAGACCACACCATAGCTGCGCCACGTGCCAGCGACTTCACCTGTAAAGTCAACCTGCGGCGTAATCGTCCCGCTCGTGAGGAGCACCGCACTGGATGCAGCATCGCCTGAGTGAAGCATCACAGAACGAGCATTGGCCATGTTGGTGCCTGATTGGAAGCCACTCCGTCCGTCAAGGAAGGGGACTTGCGCGATGTTCACGCTCGCGCCTGCAGTATTCCCAGTATAGGTTGCATACAGGTTTGCGTCGCTCAGCAAGTTGATGGCGTTGAAGTAGGTCCACTTGCCAGTGGCACCGCACATCTTCATGTCCGATGCAGAGATCGTGGCCGCGCTGAGCAGCGTGTCGCCAGCAGGGCAGGCCACAGGTCCTCAGTTGTGCGTGAAGTCACCAAGGGCCGGTGTCTTCTTGTGGCATCGCGCAAGCCGCGTGAAAGTAGAGCTGAAAAAACAGGCATCATGCCGTGGATTCATGGGCGACTTCTGTTGCTTCGGAACGTGACTTTAACGATACGTTTTTGCATGGTGAGTAACCTATCCAGCCCAAAATCCGATCATGAACAAAGCCCCAGGATCCGTAGTTGTTTCCGTTGGACGTGGGCAGCTTGCCAATGCTGAGAGTGGGGTTCGTGTTCCATTGATAGGTTCGTCGTGTTGTAGCAACATAGTCGCCGGTTCGGTAGAGGAACACATTCTTGAGCTGCTCCGCATCGCCACTGATTTCCACCAGGGTGAAGTTAGTCCACGAAGCCGTGGCGGTATTTGTCACCCCTGTCTCTCGTGTGGGGGGGCTGGTGCCGGTCATGCCGGGTCCAGCCCATGCACTGCCACCCAGCGAGCACTGCACAGCCGCGCAGGCACCCGAGAGCCGCGCATTCCCATTCTGGATGAAGACACTGCAGCCCAAGTCCCTTTCGGTGGATAGCTCTTCCACTGCACTTGCGCCGGACCGCACCCAGTTGTCAACATACTCACGGATAGGATACCTCGCTTAGCATCAGGACACGTCGGAAGGCAAAAGGGGGTGCTAGGTCAACTGCTCTAGCTGCCCTAGCTTGCTGAACCTGCAGCCATGAAGCAGCTTGCACTCCCCCGCCGAGATTTCGAGCGACTCGGTAGCGCAATCTTGGATGTTGGGGTGGTTGATGTAGCAGGTACCGCCGAAGAGGTTGCACACCTGGACATGGAACGCGATGCCCGTGGTGATGTTAGCCGCGCCGCTCGTGCACCGGGTCACATTCGGCTCCTGTGCAGCTGTCACAGACACCAAAACCAAGACACACAAGAAGCGAAGAGAACGGTGGTCCATGGCCTTAGTTTTCGCACATCCGAAACCGGGAGCTTAGAAGCTTCGGACTCTTCCTCACGTTCCATCCAAGAAGCAAAACACGGGCCCGGATCTGCAAACAGAAAACGGGGGAGAGCGATGCTTCGCACTGGGAACCACAGTTCTCGAGCAGGCATAAGCGGATATGACCAACTGCAGAAGTTGCGCATTGGAATGTCACGAACGAATCCTTTTTGCCCAGATATGCTCGAATGCCCTCAGCATGACAGTGCGAAACTTTAGCGCAGCCCCTTCTCCTGCATGTGCCACGAGAGAAACTGTGCTGGGGATCCGGCCGAAGGTCAACATCAGCCAAAAACACCTCGGCATAGCTTCCGGTCAGCGTTGCATCCTCCATCTTGGACCGAATACTTGCTTGTGCGGCAACTCAGCTCAAACAACTCCTTCCGATGTTTGAGGGGGTATTCGGCCTTGCCAATGCGGGAAGACGACACTGTTGCAAAGCAGATCGCGAGGCTGGCACAAGGGCAGTTAGGAACCTGGTTTGTCTTGCCTCCTCTACCCTACACCCTAAGCCCTATGCCGCAGACCGTGGTCTACTCGTCAAGACGGAACTGAAACTCTCTGCAACACATGGCACAAGCACAGCATCCAGCCTTAGCTCTAAACACTGAGCCCTGAAGCCTAGAACCCCCAAACCCTCAACCTTCCTAAACTCTAAACCCTCAAACCCTGAACCCCAAATCGATACAGAGCCCTGGACCCTATAATGTAGGAACCTGATTGAGAAACCCTGGGCCTTTATCAGGGCTCCTTATATGAATCCTGCTATTTTGGGGTTATAGGCCCAGGGTTTCTTAATCAGGTTCCTACACTATCATAGTACCCTTATAGATCCCTTATAGTACCCCTTGTATATAGACCCCTTTAAAGGGACCCCTAGGTTCCTACATGATACTCCCAATCAGCCCCCAAACTCTAAAGGCTGACGCCCCTCGATCAAAGCCTCATCCTGAGATGGGAGCTTCCCGGCCCTAATATAATACCCGAAATGTAAGATCCGTATTATAAGGACCCCAAGATAAGGTACTCCTAGTTTTCGGAAACCCTAAACCCTTTCTAGGACCCTGATAGATCCCCCTTAGAAGATCCCTTTAAAGGTACCCCCAATACTCGGAAACTCCCAGATGTGAGATCGGGGCCCGGGCGAGGGAAAGGCAAGGCAGACCTACCCGAGCGCAGGTCACTACAGATATATATATATATATATATATACCCCTAGGGTTCCTTGAAAGGGATCTATAGGGGTACCTTCAAGGGCTTCCATTCAGGGATCTATATGATATATATACCCCTAGGGTTCCTTTAAAGGGATTTATAGGGGTACCTTTAAGGGCTTCCATTAAGGAATCTATATGATATAAATCCTAAAGGGTTTCGGGTTCAGGGTTGATGATCTAAATCCTGCATTACCCGAAGGACCCTGAACTATGGGAATGATGCTATATTCCTTATTATGGGTAATGCAGGATTTATGTCATCAACCGTCAACCGTAGGTCTTTCGGGGATACCAGAAAGAGTCTAACAGGGCTTAGGGTTTAGGTATTTTGGGGGTACTAGAAGGAGCATAATAGGGTTTAGGGCTTAGGTATTTTGGGGATGACAGATGAGCCCACAGGCTAATCACGTGCATATGTGAGCGCGTGGAGATGTGTCTGCAAAGTCATTGAACTACTTGGAGAGGCAGGGGACTTAGTAAGTATGGCTAGAAGTAGAGTTATAAGTACCCTAAATGGACTTACCCCAATTATAACCCTACTTATAACCCTAGTTACTAAGTCCCCTGCCCCTTCAAGTATGATCTTCAAGCATCGGACGTGACTCGCATGGCTGCGCGCGACGTTCGAAGGACTGAGCTTGCCGCTACCCCCCCCCCCAACCCGCCCCCTCGTGTGTGTTTGCAAGGTCGTAGCCTCATGACCTCGACCGCCCTGCACGGCTTGCTCTACCAAGTTGACGCAAGAGCATGATCTAGAAAATCATGAAGACGCCGCTAAGACGCCCCACCTCCACTGAAGGTCACGTGGACCTGGGCATCGCAATGCAAGCTTCGTTTGAACGGAAGGATACTCAAATGCTCCGGTGATGTCTGTCCACCTGATCCCAATGCGGGCACGAGGTGGCGTGATTACGTCTTCTATGGCACTGCCGGCTCCCTCGAATTTCACGTTTCACGCGCAAGGTGCGCACGGAAACATCGGCCACGTCGAAAACTTCATGCAAAGCATCTAAATCTAGAAGGTGGAAGCATGACTGCTACATGTACCGGAGCATTGGTCAAGTCATGAAAGTCACGCCTCCACCTCCGCCTAACAGATCGCTTGGGCACCGCAACGCAATTTTTACTGGTGGAGAAGGAGTTCCGATGAATTCCGGTCCACCCCTTCCACTACACCAGTCACTATTATGCCTCCTGCCGAGGCACTCTTCAATATGCTCACCATGAGATATCGTTCGAAAGGCTGAGTTTGATGCCGCCGGTTGCATAACTTTTTGTACATGTGACGACTTGAGACCCGGAGGAGGGTGACGAAAGCTCTAGCTTCATGGGCTTAGTGAGCATGAAGACCGTACACAGAAAAGCTAAACGCATCATGAGCATCACTGGGATTAAAGCTTGGGAGTTGAGGAATACACGGTGATTTCAATTTCTAAGGAGCATACAGAAGAAAACCAACGGGGTCATACACAACCCTTGTGCACCCAAAGCCCTAGACCCGTTGAAAAAGCCTCCAGGGAACATACAGAAGAAAACGAACGGGGTCATACACAACCCTTGCGCACTCAAAGCCCTAGACCCTGTATCTTAAAATCACTGAAAAAGATAACAAATGGTGTCATACACAGTTGTTTCAGCTTCCAATGAGCATACAGAAGAAAACGAACGGGGTCATACGCAACCCTTGCGCACTCAAAGCCCTAGACCCTGTATCTTAAAATCGCTGGAAAAATGCAACGAATGGTGTCATACACAGTTGTTTCAGTTTCCAAGGAGCATACAGAAGAAAACGAGCGGGGTCGTACATAACCCTTGCGCACTCAAAGCCCTAGACCCTGTATCTCAAAATCGCTGAAAAAGACAACGAATGGTGTCGTACACAGTTGTTCCAGTTTCCAAGGAGCATACAGAAGAAAACGAACGGGGTCATAGACAACCCTTGCGCACTCAAAGCCCTAGACCCTGTATCTTAAAATCGCTGAAAAAAGACAACGAATGGTGTCATGCACAGTTGTTTCAGTTTCCAAGGAGCATACAGAAGAAAACGAACGGGGTCATACGCAACCCTTGCGCACTCAAAGCCCTAGACCCTGTATCTTAAAATCGCTGAAAAAAGACAACGAATGGTGTCATACACAGTTGTTTCAGTTTCCAAGGAGCATACAGAAGAAAACAAACGGGGTCATACACAACCCTTGCGCACTCAAAGCCCTAGACCCTGTATCTTGAATTCGCTGAAAAAGACAACGAATGGTGTCATACACAGTTGTTTCAGTTTCCAAGGAGCATACAGAAGAAAACGAACGGGGTCATACGCAACCCTTGCGCACTCAAAGCCCTAGACCCTGTATCTTAAAATCGCTGAAAAAAGACAACGAATGGTGTCATACACAATTGGGTCATGCACAACCCTTGCGCACTCAAAGCCCTAGACCCTGTATCTCGAAATCGCTGAAAAAGACAACAAATGGTGTCATACACAGTTGTTTCAGTTTCCAAGGAGCATACAGAAGAAAACGAACGGGGTCATGCACAAGCCTTGCGCACTCAAAGCCCTAGACCCTGTATCTCAAAATCGCTGAAAAAGACAACGAATGGTGTCATACACAGTTGTTTCAGTTTCCAAGTAGCATCCAGAAGAAAACGAACGGGGTCATACGCAACCCTTGCGCACTCAAAGCCCTAGACCCTGTATCTTAAAATCGCTGAAAAAGACAACGGAATGGTGTCATACACAGTTGTTTCAGTTTCCAAGGAGCATACAGAAGAAAACGAACGGGGTCATACGCAACCCTTGCGCACTCAAAGCCCTAGACCCTGTATCTTAAAATCGCTGAAAAAAGACAACGAATGGTGTCATACACAGTTGTTTCAGTTTCCAAGGAGCATACAGAAGAAAACGAGCGGGGTCATACATAACCCTTGCGCACTCAAAGCCTTGGACCCTGAATCTTAAATTCGCTGAAAAAGACAACGAATGGTGTCATACACAGTTGTTTCAGAGCATACAGAAGAATACGAACGGGGTCATACACAACCCGTGCGCACTCAAAGCCCTAGACCCTGTATCTGAAAATCGCTGAAAAAGATACCAAATGGTGTCATACACGGTTGTTTCAGCTTCCAATGAGCATACAGAAGAAAACGAACGGGGTCATACGCAACCCTTGCGCACTCAAAGCCCTAGACCCTGTATCTTAAAATCGCTGAGAAAAGACAACGAATGGTGTCATACACAGTTGTTTCAGTTTCCAAGGAGCATACAGAAGAAAACGAACGGGGTCATACACAAGCCTTGCGCACTCACAGCCCGAGACCCTGTATCTTAAAACCGCTGAAAAAAGACAACGAATGGTGTCATACACAGTTGTTTCAGTTTCCAAGGAGCATACAGAAGAAAACGAGCGGGGCCATACACAACCCTTGCGCACTCAAAGCCCTAGACCCTGTATCTTGAATTCGCTGAAAAAGACAACGAATGGTGTCATACACAGTTGTTTCAGTTTCCAAGGAGCATACAGAAGAATACGAGCGGGGCCATACACAACCCTTGCGCACTCAAAGCCCTAGACCCTGTATCTTAAAATCGCTGAAAAAAGACAACGAATGGTGTCATACACCGTTGTTTCAGTTTCCAAGGAGCATACAGAAGAACACAAACGGTGTCACACACAGCCCTTGCACAACTCAAAGCCCCAGACCCTGTACCTAAAAATCGCTGAAAAAGTTGAACAGTCTGAC